GCAGCTCTTGCGGGAGAGAGAGAGAGAGAGAGAGAGATGGAAATTAGCAAAAAACTACAGCTGTTCTTTATTGTTGAGCTGTTGTTGCAGGAATATGCAGGAATTACTAATATTGTAGTTGTAGCTACACTAATGTGCCTTGGAGTTGACAGGTGTATAAGAGTCCCTTCCATTTTATTTATATTGCACAGAATCCCATATCTGTCTCTGACTGCTTTTCAATCTGTACCACTATGACCCCCTCTATCCTTATACCTAAATAAAAAAAGATGATTAGCAGGTGGGTTTAAACTATAGTTTTATGATAATTAAGTTTAGGGTTTCCACTTAAGGTGGGCGGCACTGTGTTTGTAGGTCACACAAATACAGATGAGTTAGTGGTTGATGTAATAATTTCACACTGCCTGGTTTTTTTTACACATTGAAAGTGTCATGGAAGAAAACAGTGTAATAATAGGGCTATTGGGTTCAGTAGAAGGACAAGATGTGTTAGTGGGGACTATGACTCATCTCTGGAAGCTTTTAATAATGTGAATAATCATTTAAAATATAATAATAGACTACAGTCTGTATTGTTTTTCTAAGAAGACAAACATTTTGACATGATGACATTGTGTACAACATATGTACCGCTCTGCAGATTGCATCATTTATGAATGGTGATGATACACGAAACAGGGTGGATCCACGTGAGAAACAGACGTATATGATTGGACGGTACAGGCAGACCGGTCTCCTGCGCTCTCGCTGATTGGCTGTGCTTTCGAGTGGGCGGGGCTTATACTGACATGGTTTGGATGTTTTACGCTCGGTGGAGTAGTGCTGCGTCTGTCAAAGCCAGAAAGAGCAATTGCCACAGTCCGCCGTGGTCCAACCGTTCTGTAATCTTATTGTTAATGTCCAAAGCTGCTTCACACTGTCCTCTGAGGAATGAGGAGCAAGACTAACAACAAAAAAATACTGTCGCGTCTCGCCTCAATTCAATCCAGCGATCAGAATCTGGTCTAAAAACTTGGACCTTTCACAGCTGAATGGAGCAGCAGCCGGGGCTATGTAGCTTCACCCCAGGGTGCCAGGCTGGAGTCTCCACCGGTCAGCCAACCATGCGTTTGTCCATCACCTCGACCGCGGGCAGCCCAGTGGAGATCACTGTCCCCCGGGGAGAGACTGTGGAGGGACTGAGGACACACATCTCGCACAAACTCAGGCTGCAGACAGACAGAATCGTCCTCCTGTATAGAGACAAGTGAGTCGTGCTTCATGTGACAGATATTGCTTCATCTCTTCTATTCTTAAGCAAGTCAATATATGCTAACTATATAATGTGCGTGTGGCAGGCAGCTAACCGCAGGCCAACTGTTGGACCTGGGTGTAACAGATGGAAGCAAGCTGACCCTGGTCCCTGCCATTGAAGCTGGTTTAGTGGTGAGTAAGCCGATGCAGCCTCCAACCATACACACAGTTGTCATCATTACTTCATGATTACCTCTGCATTATTAGTTTTGTGCCCCCTCTTAAGTAAAGTAGCTACTGAATCAATCTATTGATTCCTTTTTGTCCCTTCCTGTTCTAGTCCAGTTCATTTTCTAGTCATACAATTGTGATGATGTATGCACAACTGATTCTCACACTGTAGATTGATAAGCATGAAGTAATGATAGATTACGTGTAAAAATGTGGCCATAAGGCTGAAATGGTAATGACTAATATCTAGTGCTGTAATGAGTACGGTTATCCTCCAGTTTGGGTGATGCACCACTTTACTTTGGGGGAGGAAAGGGAAATGTTAACTGTTGATGAAGTATATTCATTCAGTAAAACTCTGTGATGCGCCACTTTACTTGAGGGGCACAATATTGGTAACTAATGGACAGGTAATCATGACCTAATGATTCAGATAAAGGTGGGTAATAATGACGTAATGATTCGTGTGTGGTTAAGTGCTGTTTACAACATTATTCAGAATTAACCAAGAATGATAATTTAATGACCATTATAAGGATTCACAGATAACCACAAACAATTACATACATATTAGTTAATTACCATAATATCTTACAGTCATTTCTCAATCAAGTTATCAGCTACTAAAATTTGATGAAGATAAAATCAAGAACTGCCGTTAACTGATGGTTTACAAGCAGAAAAACCCGAAACACATTTACATTCACATCCATGTACACATGTAATCAGACTTCATGTAGAGATGTCATGTTGTGATATCTTTACTGCCACAGTGCTCCACTGCCAGAGCTGAGAGAACTATGATGGACGTCTTAGAAAGTTTAACAGAAGTCCAGGTAAGTTTAATGTCTTTTTGACTCTATGCTGTAAATAAATAGACACTTGTTTAATGCATGAATGTGATGAGGGGGAAAAAATCTTGTTCTTGAAGAATTCAAAGCACTGGTGGTTTCCAGTTATTTTCATACAGTAGGATGTAACACACATCTCACCGCTGTCCTGTGAAAACCACGTATCTCCAAAACCTCGTCTTTTTTTTCTGAAAAATTCAAAATTAACCCAATTCGGAGTGCATTGTTATCATTGGACAGCAAAAGGCAAATAAAAGCCCAACATACCTGTTTTGATGTTTTAAGGAAAATAATATGCATAAACCATGCAAAGATTATTGCGTCATGTCCTTCACAAAGGCAATGCAGACTTCATTGATTACAGCCACACACACACACACACACACACACACACACACACACACTCGCACACACACAGCAATTCCTATGGGTACTGGATGGGTACACCAACATTTCATGCACGTACTCCAATACACCCATGATGACATTTGTCTTAAAATATTGTGAGTTTATGAGGATGCTGCTCTTCTGTTGCATGTCTGACAAAGTAGATACTCAATGAATGTTTGCTGAAATATTGTAAATCACACTTGCTGTTGCCATGGTATCCATGACTGTCAACAAATTGAACTGTGATGTGTGTCTTTCCTGACTATCCTGCAGATCAGTGACTTCCTGTCTGGGCACTCACCTCTGACCATTAAACTGGGAATTGGTGCCCACATGATGTATGTGCAGCTTGAACTGTCTGCGCAGAATGTGGCGGAGCTGCAGCGCCAGCACGGGGACTTGAGCAGCAACCTTCAAACTGGCCTGCCCACTGCTGCCAGGATGAGCCCCCCTGACTCCTCCAACAAGACCACAGGATCCCCCTCCCAAACCTCTACTCGAGCCCCGGACTCTACATCCGTGATCCAATTGAGTGCTCAAAGACCCAAAACTTCCTTGAACTCAACAGCTCCCGGCTCCCACTCACTCACCACTGCCCTTCCACATCGATCCTGTCCGCCCCACTCTACACACACATCCTCTCCTGTGCTTTCCACCCCTTCTTTGCCTTCTGGTTGTCCACATCCCAGCAGTCCACAACCAGCAGCCACACCATTCTGTTCCCCTGCTCCCACCGGCTCCATTCCTGGACCCCGGAGCCCGGCGTCAGCTTCAACCCTCGAAGAGGTTAGCCTTACATATTCTACTGCAAAACTGTTTCGTAATCACAATGCATTGTCAAGGTTTCACCAACATGTATTATTGGCATGTTTTAGTATATTACCTATACCAAGCCAGTTTAGAGTTTAAAACAGTTCTACTAGTGTTTATTCCTTCCTCCTCTTCCTTCTCGTTTTACAGAGTAATGTTCATGCCTCATCCACTGCAGAGCTGAGCAAGCAGCCAGGAGCAGTCATAGAAAGTTTTGTGAGCCCCTCACCAGGTGTCTTCTCCGGGACTTTCTCTGGTAAGTGTCTCAGCAGCGGAAGCCTGACAACGACACAATCAGAATACAATAGATTTTGATTAGTTTAATCAGGATAGATACACAGACAGACAGAGTTCTTTATTAATCTCAAAGGACAATTGCAGCGTTGCAGCAGCCAAGTCACAGAAGTCCTGAAAATAGATGAGGTAGGCAAAAAAACTATTTAAAATATGACAATTATATAAACTAACTAAAACACGCTAAATAGAATAAGTTAACGACAGAGAATAGAGACGAAAGATAGACATGTGTTCATATACACTGTACAATGATGCCATATTGTACAGTAGCGGTACAAGTCTAGTAATGTTCTATGCTGTACTGCAAGATGTAGGATTGTCTGATAATCTGACAATCATTTTCTCCATTAGTTGATTCATCATTTTATTGATAAAATGACTAAAAATCTTAAAATGTCCATTATGATTTTGCATTGCCAAAGGAGACATGTTTAATTTGCTTGTTTTATTCGACCATCGGTCCAAACCCAAAGATATTCAGTTCTTGACAAAGAAAATAAGCAAATCATTACATTTGAGCTGCTGGAACCAGTGAATTATGGAATTTTTGCTTGGAAATTGACTAAAATGATTAATTGATAATCGATTGTTAGAGTAAATTGCTTTTACTTTACGTAGATCTACTGCTTTATTTTTGTTGCCCTAATGTCTACTGCCTCAGTTTGCTTCTAGTTGTTCTTTTTCATCAACTATCAGCCACCTCTTCCTCTCTCATGTCCCCTGCTCTCTTCTCTTCTCTTCCCATCAGGCACTCTGGCCCCGTGCAGTCAGAGCGGCTTCAGCCATCCTCGGCGTGGCATCGCCATCATTCTCCAGATCTTCAACGACCTCCTCAGAGCTGCCTACCACCACCAGGGGGCTCAGCCTACCCCTCCTCATCATCCCCAACAACCTGATTCAAACCCTCCAGCCAGCCTGCTGCTCTCAGCGAAGGAGGGGCCAAGCAAAGCAAAGAGCAAAACAGTGGGGACCCAGAGGACAGACCACCTCAGTAAAACTCCAGGTGAACACATGATATCACACACTTGAACACTGGAGGAGTTACTGGAGATTTCATTCATAATACATTCCTTATGCAAATATATATTCCAGAAACAAGGAAATGACTGACTGTAACAAGGACAGTAAAAACAAAAAGGTGAAAAACATGGATGCATTGGCTCTCAATAGAGCTCCAGTTGGATTAAATGACACTGAGCAAACTGACCTTTATCATTAAAGTATGGCATAGCAAAGCCTTCTTCTCTTTACTCTTCTTCCCCCTGGAACTTTATCATTGTGTAGCATGTCTAACAAGTTGTTATCCCCCCCACCCCCCTGTAGGTGAGGAGAGTCACCTGACCTGCCCACCCACGCAGGAAAATCAAACATTACACTGTAAGCTGGAGCGCTTGCAGTTTTTGATGCATCAGAGGCGTCTTCGCAGGCGAACTCGGAGGCACTCGCAAGCGTCTCACCCGTACCAGCACCATCGCCCTCGTCCCTAGTCTCCTGCATGGGAGAGATCCACTCACTGTGATAGCAGGGGCTGCTTTCTGGTGACTAGAAGGAACCAGTTTAGCAACCAAAGCTGACCTCTTAACTCGTGGAACAGGTGAAAGAGCAGCAGAGTGACCTCAAATGCTTTGGGGCTATTTTGACAGATAAGAATTTCTGAAGAATGTAAGACCAAAAGGTCCAAGGAGTCTGATTCCTGTGGCTGTCACTGTGCTGAGCATGTTATTTCATCTGAGTCTGTCAGTGACAATGGCTCACATTGTTATGTAGCATATGTCATAAAAGGGTCCAATGTGCATTTTTATGTTATACATCTTGGTGTTTTGTACAAAGACCTATTACCGTATGTCTGTTTACGTACTGCAATGCCTTAAATGTACATGTCTTGGATGTAAACTACGTATTGTTCTGTGCTGAGGATGTTCCTATGAAATGTTTCAGGATTACTAATATTAAACACAAGGAAGGCAAAAAAAGAATATGGGAATACCAAGGAAAACGTGGGATATTTCCGTTCCCGTTTTTAGACCTGGAACACCTAAAATTGCTGTTTTCATCTTCCTCTTAATTGATACCCTTTTGTCATTCAGACATTGCCGTCTTTTACATTAAATTTCCTTACATTCAGGCATGACATGTGACATTTTACTGTAAGGAGATGGATTAATGAGGCAAAACTGAAGTTACAGTCTTGCTTTGGACTAATTGTCATGGTTTTTGAGGCTGCAGTTTAAGACGTAGATGAACTCACAGATACTGTGACGTGTTATACCAGGCCAAGAAGGAGGCCTACAGAAGTGGGGGAATCCTGAAGAACCAAGTCAGAAACATACTGACAAAGGAGATCAGAATAACAAAGAGAAGTACCCTGAAAAGCCTCTCAGCCAGTGAGCCTGCAGGACATTACCAGCTACAGGAAACCATCCCCCCCATTGTGGAAAACCATCAACTGGCTGACGACCGGAATGTGTTTCACTGCAGGTTTGATAAGCGAACATTCACACCCCTCACCCGCTCCGAGTCATAGATACATAACACGTCTACCTACAACCCCTGCCAGCCCCTCCCCACTTACCCCCCACCTGGAAACAGGATCTATGCTCCTTTTACATATATATATATATATGTGCATATAACATAGGTTAACATGCATATAACATACATATATATATATACACATATACACATATATATATATATTTTTTTTTATATATATATAGATATAGATATATATTTGTGTGAAAAAGTGTTTGCCCCCTTCCTGATTTCTTATTTTTTTGCATGTTTGTCACACTTAAATGTTTCAGATCATCAAACATATTGAAATATTAGACAAAGATAACACAAGTAAACACAAAATGCAGTTTTTAAATGAAGGTTTTTATTATTAAGGGGGGAAAAAAATCCAAACCTACATGGCCCTGTGTGAAAAAGTGATTGCCCCCTAAACCTAATAACTGGTTGGGCCACCCTTAGCAGCAACAACTGCAATCAAGCGTTTGCGATAACTGGCAATGAGTCTTTTACAACACTGTCGAGGAATTTTGGCCCACTCATCTTTGCAGAATTGTTGTAATTCAGCCACATTGGAGGGTTTTCAAGCATGAACCGCCTTTTTAAGGTCATGCCACAGCATCTCAATCGGATTCAGGTCGGGACTTTGACTAGGCCACTCCAAAGTCTTCATTTTGTTTTTCTTAAGCCATTCAGAGGTGGACTTGCTGGTGTGTTTTGGATCATTGTCCTGCTGCAGAACCCAAGTGCGCTTCAGCTTGAGGTCACGAACAGATGGCCGGACATTCTCCTTCAGGATTTGTTGGTAGACAGCAGAATTCATGGTTCCATTTACCACAGCAAGTCTTCCAGGTCCTGAAGCAGCAAAACAGCCCCAGACCACCACACTACCACCACCATATTTTACTGTTGGTATGATGTTCCTTTTCTGAAATGCCGTGTTACGTTTACGCCAGATGTAATGGGACATACACCTTCCAAAATGTTCAACTTTTGTCTCGTCAGTCCACAGAGTATTTTCCCAAAAGTCTTGGGGATCATCAAGATGTTTTCTGGCAAAACTGAGACAAGCCTTTATGTTCTTTTTGCTCAGCAGTGGTTTTCGTCTTGGAACTCTGCCATGCAGGCCATTTTTGCCCAGTCTCTTTCTTATGGTGGAGTCATGAACACTGACCTTAATTGAGGCAAGTGAGGCCTGCAGTTCTTTGGATGTTGTTCTGGGGTCTTTTGTGACCTCTTGGATGAGTCGTCGCTGCGCTCTTGGGGTAATTTTGGTCGGCCGGCCACTCCTGGGAAGGTTCACCACTGTTCCGTGTTTTCGCCATTTGTGGATAATGGCTCTCACTGTGGTTCGCTGGAGTCCCAAAGCTTTAGAAATGGCTTTGTAACCTTTTCCAGACTGATAGATCTCAATTACTTTGTTTCTCATTTGTTTCTGAATTTCTTTGGATCGCAGCATGATGTCTAGCTTTTGAGGATCTTTTGGTCTACCTCACTTTGTCAGGCAGGTCCTATTTAAGTGATTTCTTGATTGAGAACAGGTGTGGCAGTAATCAGGCCTGGGTGTGGCTAGAGAAATTGAACTCAGCTTTCCAAAGATGTGATAAACCACAGTTAATTTATGTTTTAACAGGGGGGGGGGCAATCACTTTTTCACACAGGGCCATGTCGGTTTGGATTTTTTTTCCCTCTTAATAATAAAAACCTTCATTTAAAAACTGCATTTTGTGTTTACTTGTGTTATCTTTGTCTAATATTTAAATTTGTTTGATGATCTGAAACATTTAAGTGTGACAAACATGCAACAAAATAAGAAATCAGGAAGGGGGCAAACACTTTTTCACACAACTGTATATATCCATATATAAAAGATTCCAATGTGCATTGTCATGTTATAAAAGCCTTTACAAAAGCCTTTAATCGTATGTTTGTAGTACTCCAATGCCTTAAATGTACATGTCTTGAATGTAAACTACGTCTTGTTCTGTGCAGAGGATGTTCCTATGAAATGTTTCAATATTACTAATATCAAACACAAGGAAGGCAAAAATACAATAAAGGAATACATTAAGAAACCTTGGGATATTTCCATTTCCTTTTTTAGACTTGGAACACCAAACATTGCTGTTTTCATCTGCCCCTTAATTGATACAACTTTTTGTCATGTTTGTACTCCAATGCCTTAAATGTGCATATCTTGAATGTAAACTACATGTAGTTATGTGCTGAGGATGTTCCTTTGAAATGTTTCAGTATTAAACACAAGGAAGGCAAAAAATAAAATAGGAATACATTAAGAAACCGTGGGATATTTCCGTTTCCTTTTTTAGACCTGGAAGACCTAACATTGCTGTTTTCATCTGCCCCTTAATTGATACATTTTTGCCATATATATATATATATATATATATATATATATATATATGATAACAAACTTACATTGCTATTCCAATCAGAGTACTTTTATGGAGAGACGTTACACCACCCGGTACAGTAGGTGGCAGTAGGTATCGCCACGCTACCGCCAATAAAGCAACAGATGAAGACGTTGCGCAGAGCCCTGAAAAGCAGAACGCGCCTCCTTCCCTCTCTCATTCCACCCGCTGCCTCCCTCTTCAACTGTTGGACTCCTGCTCGTTAAAGGTAATTGCTATTTTTTAACCATTCTTTTCTGTTTTCACAGTAGATTTGGTGGTAATTGTACATGTTTACGCCTGCCTACATTTACAAGGCATGATTATTATGTCCGCTTTTTGTCTGGTTTAAAGTATTTATTTAATGCTACGTTTTTTTAAAAGGTGGGGGGGGGTGGGGATTATGAAACTGTTTTACGTGCATCGTGTTGCTGTTAAGAGGGATAATGTGAAACTGCGCCAAATTATGTACGGTATCATAATCGTTTGTCGGAACCATTATGTAACCACGACAATATGGCATCGAGCGGCATGTGAAGCTAATGTCGGCCGGAGAAACAAAAGTGAGGCGCACGAGCTCGCTGCCACAAAATGGCGCCTAAAGAATAACTGCTAGCTACCTAATCCGCTAACATAACGGTACCACGTTTATAGGCCCCGAGGCCTAGCTCCTCGCGGTACTCGTCTTTCAATGGCGGTGATTCATTTACATTAAAGGCAGGTTAAAACTAAATTATTTCGGTTTAGTATGATTTATTTTAGTGTTTAACACAAGTGGAACAAGGAATGTGTATTTTTATAAAAAAACGGTTACGCAGGTTTATGGTGGCGGTGACCTACTTTTGGACGATATTTTAACAAAGGACGTTGGTCTTAAGATTTGTTTAGATATTTGTTTGCGTAAACGGATTGTTGCGTTTATTTTGTTTTCCCCCAGCTACACTATGTCGGACGACGGTAAATTGTTCATCGGCGGACTGAGCTTTGAGACCAACGAGGAGTCTCTAGCTGCGGCCTTCGGCAAATATGGATCCATCGAGAAAGGTAAATACTTCGTAGCGTCTTGTTTTCTGGATAGAAGTCATTGATATGCTCACAATAATGTTTTATAAGTCTTTCGATTCACTTTTTTTTCTTTTTTAAATATTTTTTTTCCTCCCTCACTAGTGGATGTGATCAGAGACAAAGAGACGGGGAAATCTCGCGGGTTTGGCTTCGTGAAATTCGACAACTCGGACGACGCTAAAGACGCACTGGAAGCGATGAACGGCAAGGTAAGACAATGCGTCACGATTCACCAACGTTTTTAACATTTTTTATTTTTTAAACAAATTTTCTTTTTTTCAATCTTTATTTTTTTGCAGACTCTGGATGGACGGTCAATTCGTGTGGATGAAGCAGGAAAAGGAGGACGCTCCAGAGGAGGATTCAGCTCCAGTGGCCCTAGGGGACAGCGAGGTGGAGGATTTGGCGGGCGTGGGAGAGGTGGACGGAGTTACTCCAGAGGTGGACACTAGCTGTCTGCGCAGTCATTTTCATGTGTTGTGGTTGCAACACCGTGCCCCTCCCTCTGTTCGTCAATGTTGCCCGTGTCTTGTTTTGCAGGTGGTGGATACAATGGAGACAGGAGCTACGGTGACAGGAGTTACAGTGACAGAAGCTTCCATTCTGAAGGGAGGTTTGGCGGCAGCCAGTACAGGAATAGCGGAGGTGGCGGCGGCAGTGGATACTCGGCCTACAGAGACAATAGGTAAGAAAAATGAACGAAATCACAGATGAAACTAGTGTTGCCTGCAAAAGTTACTGTGATGTAATTATGTTAAATATTTGTTATAATTTTAAGGGGCCAGGGTGGATACAGCGACCGCACTGCATCCTACCGTGACGGATACGACAGCTATCGTAAGCATATGATATGCATTTGTACTGTGTATGTGGACTTATGTTGGGGCTGTCATTTTCAAATTTTAAAGCTAAAATCAACCTGCCATAAGACAATAGTTTATTTTAGTAAACGGGTTAATAATTTAAAAAAATATATATGTAATGGCGAACATTACACTTAATTTGAAATATGAACATATTTTGTCTGTGGTATGCTGATTTCACACTATAATTTAAATTAGGTAAAGTTACTGAACACCAAGGGTTATCACACATTTAATTAAAACTGCACAGCCCCAACATATGAAGACTTGTATAATGTATGTCCCTCAGTTTTGTACCTGAGCCCAACTTGATGCCTCTTCTGCGGTTGCCAAATTTTGCTAGCCCCCCTCCCCACTCTCCTTCCACAGTCCCACTCTGATACAGAGGCTGGCAAAGAATTTGAATCACTTAGCAAATGTTACTACTTCTGACATGGTTCACCGACTGGAGCGGAAAAACTGAGGGAGGGATTAAGGACTGTCTGGTGGGATTGAGGGGATGTTGTGAAACTCGAGTGTTGGAACTTTCAGTGTCTTTACCTGTGTGCCCACTTCTTATCCTCAGCTGCAAACGAGTAAACATCTCCCTGATTCAAGATCATCACTTGGCTGGCTGTATTTCAAAGATGCGCTCCTCAAGAAAAATGTCCACGTGTTATTGCTGACCTTAGTTTTGTAGTTCTGTTGTAGTAGCTCAAGCATCTTAAAAAAAAAAAAAAATGTAGCCATGAGTTTTGGTCATTCCTTAACAAACCATGTTACGAATTACAGTTCCAGACTCTTACCTTGCTTGATTTGGCATCTTTATTCCTCAAAAATCGTTTAACTAAAAGGCATCTGTGTAATCTGATTAGTACTGTAAGTCCCAATTTGAGGACCGAACAACTGCTCTCCACATGGCCACTACCATCGCTGTAGACTTTGTCCAGCACGTAAAGTGTTTCCTGATTTTGATTCCTTAGTTTTTTGGGGTTTTTTTGCTTTTTGTTTTTTTTTTATATTGAAATATCCGATGGGCTTGTTCTGTTTCCTTTACTTATTTCCCTCTCAGTCTCAGTGGCTGACCTACCTCTTGCCAGGTTTTAAAGTGAGGAAAGAAATCCGAATTACTCATAAACAGACTTTTGGGGGATTTTATGCTAAATTCCTTTTACTATTAAAAAAAACAAAAAAAAAAACTTAGCCGAGGCTCCTGTGTGTTCAAAGAGTGAATTCCTTTCAGACTGAACTACACAACCGAAGTGGCCGGCTGTCATGACGTTGCAAATTGCAGCATGCTACAGTCTGTCCGAGGTATCTTTTGTGCTCTGCTCAACATCTGCATTTTAAATGTGCTGTAAAATGGACTAATCTTGTTTAAGTGATCGAAAAATGTAACTTCGTTTCCCCAAAGTAATATCTCACCCGGGAACAGTTTTGTACTTTATGTTCTTTGTATGATCAACATTTTTTTTTTTTTTTTCTTTGTCAGTTTGGCTTCATGGAGCCTATTAAACAGACTGTGGAAAATAATCTTGATTCTTTTGCCTTTCAAAACTACCGCATGGGGTAATTTAGGTGAACGCTGTAGGCCCATGTTACTGTAAGGCCGCGTGATGAGAAAAAAAAAATTACAGAGTTCTTTTGAGAGCAATTTAAAAGTTGTCTAAATTATCTTAAACATACAATGGCAGGTTAAGCTCTAATTGGATGTAATTTAAAAAAAAAAAAAAAATTACAAGCTGTTGTCTGGTCTCCTGAAAACCTAATGGTTTTTGACCTTGTGCAGTCTGACCTGTAAAAACAAACATACAGTGTACTGGTAGTGCATTGAGATCATATAATAAACCCCTAAAGGTGATGCTGGGAAAACATCAGCTGGTCATGTTAATGCTTCATTGCGTTCAAGAGGTCAGCCACATCAAAAACCAACAAGTCCTTGGAGATTGAAGTGTTGCGCCTTCCAACAAGTGCTCATCAGAGAGGAAAGCTGCTCTCTTCTCTAGGTCAAATGTGGAGAAAGTAGGCCAATGCACGTGAGGTAAAAATCTACTTTTGCTTTGCTCACATCCTTCAACCTCAGTTCTCATTGTTTCCATGAATACCTTCAAGTTAGTCGTTGTTTTTAGTCCTCTGCTTCAGATGTCGCCTGCAACATGCCATGGCCTCTTCCCCGATTGGAAAAAGTTCATTGAGAAAATGAATGTGTCTAAGAAGCTCCTCTGGATTGTAGTGCTCATCCTCCTGAGTCCACCAAAAAAAGCATTGGCCTCTAAGTCATGGGTAGTATTGTGCTCAGTCCACTTCTGTTCACTGCACTAGTCCTCACATTTGCTCCTGTAATGCCCCGCAGCAGTCCTGTCTAAGGTGTCTAGACTGTATTCAGTTTTTTGTTGTACCCTTATATATGACTAAGTGGTGAGTTTCAGACTAATAGGATTGCATGCATATTGTGACTTGGACTTGTGTCAAATGATAACTGCCAGGCTTAATCCATATCTTGATCTCTCTTTAGAGTGAACTGGCAATCAGTGGAACCCCTCACAGCTGAAGTATCTGGCTTTAGATGGCAGCGATCGATGCAGATTCACTTCTCAGGTAAAGTATTGTACAACAGTCGATCCCTCATGTTACTGCTTCAGTCAACCTGGCTGATTAACTCCTTACTGTCTCGTTTCAGGTCCAATGTGCAACAGCGGTGGTGCAGCTGTACGCAGTGACTCCATGGGAGGAACCTGCCAGGATCCTGCCGACTGAAAGGTCTAATGTTGGCTTGCCAGAAGGACATTTCTCAAATGTAATGGCTGCTATTCACAGGTCTTTGGCGAAATGACGAAACGGGCGGGAGGACAGTGCTGTACGTGTTCTGACTCGTCTGATGTAACTCTGTTTTGACTATTTTAATGCTAATTCAATGAGTCACTTTAGTATTACAGTATTCTGCTGTTTGAACTTTTTGTACAATTTACAAAATAAAATTGTGATGAAACTGCTTATTACCAAAATTATCTATTTAGATTTTTGGGTTCAAACTGTTCGATGGAAGGTGGGGGCAATTTGGGGTGATGCACCCAAAAAAGGGATGCTTGAGTTCAAGCTCTTAACATGCAGTGTAGCCCTGTATGATTTTAGTATTACACTTTTCCTGCAAAATTAAGTTCTCTAAAATTAAGCACTAAATAGGCCCTGCCATAAAATAAATAATTTTCCTTAATGCATTATGTAAGCTTATTCTCTGCTTTTGGGTTTAACAATGCACTATACCTAATTGCCTCATGTGTAATAAATGTAACTACCTCCAAGTTACAGTAGATGTCCCACCATTAGATACATGCTGTGAAATTCAATATAAACTGGAAAAATATCAAGTAAACCAGGATGAGGTACAGAAAAAAGATACTTTATTATAGAACATTTACAAGCTGAACTGAGGTCCTGGTGGTCCTTACACGTACCACAAGAAGCCGAAACGCTTGTGCAGGAGCTCCTCGCGGGGCCGCAGGTTGAACAGCTCCTCTGACAGAGGGGAGACCCAGCGGTCTGTGTGGAAGACACTCTCACCAACCTGCAAGAGGGAACGGGGCACCGTTTAAATAAGACATGCTGATCTGGAATGATAATTAACTTGGATTATTATTATTACTCCCATTAAATAATAAATATAGCATAAAGCATTGTTTTTATAGTTATATCCACTGATGGACAAACAGATTATATATATATATAAATATTCAATAGTGAACTAAAATGTATCTAATGTGGTGAACCAACACTTTTCCATAAGTGGGTCTTAGAATCAGTGTTTATTGGTAATAATACATAAATGTATGTGTGTTTTGCAGAAAATCATTGTAAAAGTGGAAAAAGTAATAATTATGAACTAAACTGAGCATTAACATGTTGCAGGCAACTACCGTAGCTGCTACTTAGTTATGCCAACAACACATCCCAAACTAAAGTGTTGTTAGCTGGCTATGAAGTGACTTACAAATACAAAGTGTTTTTGCACCAGACTTACTTTGAACTAGATTATTTTACAAACAGCATTAAGTCCTATTTGACCGCTGTATGAACTGCTAATTCATCGTTTGCTGATTGTTTTTTAAATGAATCTATATGCTGCTGTCTAATGTTATGATACACAAAATAAAATGTGTTGACTGTAGAAAGTCTGTGAAGTCAATCCCAGCTTCTCTTTACCTTCCAACCAGGAACGTCCTTCATGAGAACCGCCTCCTCTTCTAGATTCTCCCTCAGCATCCTTAAGGACCTGGGCCAGAGGGGGGAGTTCAACTGTTACATAAAGACTGGCGTGAGGGAGTTACTGCATTTAAAAACATAAACGCGTTCGTGTGCGAGTGTTTTGTGGTTGTCGTCACCTTCGGTCTTGCTCTGCCTGCAGCAGAGGCATCAGAGCTATCCTGGCTTCCATCTCCTCGATCTGCAGGCGCCTTTATTGCACAAACACATCACCACTAGTTCCAGCCATACTGTGAAATACAATTCATTGTGACCAACATTTAAACCCAAAGTATAATAGTCAGAATAATCCCTACCTCCTTTCTCTGTTCCAGCTGAAAAGCCTCCAGTAACCAAACACCATGATGCCAATCCCAATGCCAAACATGCTATATCCTGTTGATTAAAGGAGAGGAGAGACTGTTTAAGGCAACATTGTATTTAACCACATTATCAAGTTTCAGTGTAAAAAAAAAAAAAAGAGACGAAAGAAGACAAAAATGTAATAAAATAATGTCTGTCTATAAGCTTATTAATGGCGGCAGAGCTGCATCTTTCTTAACTGTGGCCTTCAGTATCCTATGCCAGTGATTCTCCACCAGTGTGCCATTAGAAAATGTCCAATTCCACTTAATTGGTCCAAAAAAATATCATTTAGTTGCTGCTAGTGGTGTAACGGGTCACCCTTCACGGTTCTGCACTTCAGCATTTGGCGCTGAAAGTCTTGGTAAGAGCAGGAAATTCAGAAGCCCCCGGCGCCATTTAAGTTGCACGTTTGGCTTCCCTGTATATCTTATAATGACGGGGTGAGGGTGGTGGACAAAAGCGTTACGGTATGAAGGAGTTGTTTAAAGAGAAAGACATACGACAACGGCAACACATCGGGCATGTCCACACATATGAAGCGCCACCATCCTGGTCTGTGAGCGACGGGGGCCAAGCCACAACAACAACACCACCACCACCCACAGTAATGACCTTGTTAATTTAAGACAGTATAATTAAATGATGCAAATGGTCAGAATCCAGATGAAAAGCCTCGTGTGAGTAGTGGTCAAAAGAAAGAAGAAACGGTGAGCTAGAGGCAATACAGCTAAAGTTATCTTTTGTTTGGACTTACTTCCCCCTGGGATATACGCGGTATTGAAACACTGAAACACTCAAACCAGTTTAACACACTTCATGTTTGTCACAGTTGCACTTAGGGAGAGTTAAAAGGGAACGTCCTCATGCTCAACCTGGATCCTATTTTCCCTTTTTTGTTTGTGCTTAATTGAGTGAGTGCAATATATATATATATATATATATATATATATATATATATATTTTATTTTATTTTTTTTTTTAAATGTTTGTATTGATTGAGTCCCACAAAGGAAGAATGCTTTAAAGAATGGGACCTGTTGTTGAACGATAATCAGACTTCAGAGACTGGAGCAAGTTTCTTTTGTGCTCGCTCAAAACTTTTGTCGTCACTAAACTTGCATAGAGGAGGCAGTTTGCCCACGTGCGTATCGACCTGACAAAGGGATCAGTGGGAAGGTTTGGCTCGGTCATTGGTGAGCAAACACGAGCACAGAATCTGGTCGGGCAGAATTCATTGCAACACTACTTCCGTTGTAAAATATTAACAGGGGTTTGAATTAACTGCTACATTTCGCGTGCGTGGCCTTTCCATACCCATATGTCGACTAACCAGGAAATAAACATTTTGGGACAAACTGATAGGTCAGCCCGAGGTCATGACACGCACGTCAGGCTGTGGTTGCGAAACCGAGCACGAGAGAGAGAGAGAGGACAAAAGTAGGAGGTTAATGTCGATGCCTGTTCAAAACACGACAATAGACATTTTACAAAAGGCTCTTCTCCGTTTTATATTTGTATCATATCTGACGTCAGGTCGATCTGACGCATGTCTACGCTTTCATGCAGCTTCCGACAACTTCGACACATAAAGCTGATTTTCAATCAATCTTCGTTCCTTCTGTCACAGTGAAGTTAAGGAGAAAGTCGAGCTTGATTTGAATATTTTATCTTTAATGTCGCTACTGTATAAATATGTAAACGTATCACCGCAACGTAGGTTGCTGTTGACTATTTGATTGTGGTGGGTTGTAATGATGCAAGATAGAACAGGCAGCCAGTACTGCTAGACTTTATTGTATATTTATACTGTATGGCTACTACAACATTTAATACCTCAATGAGCTCACATTTTAGAAGATTACTATTCTATTACTATGCTATTATACTAATGTGAATTGACACCATTAGCACTGGGACTCGTGCTCTGCTGGTTTGTCATCTCCGTGTCTTTACGGTACTTTGGGAGGCAACGATGAACCGGGCTACGTTGAGAGGTTGCGTATTTAACAGCTCGTGTGTGGACCTGTATATTTCGCTGACTGCGTATGTAATGTAAGTACCTGACAGTCCTCGTTTCGGCAGATTTCTCTTATAGTCAAACGAAGCATAGCCTCCTGCAGGAGGCATGTCCTGCTTCACCTTGGACCCCGCCATCTTCCTCCGTCTTCTCCGCAACACGCTGGTGACGTCACTGCAGTAACTCTTCTTCTCTCGTTGGACAAAGCGTCTGTAGCTCTCTACCGCCCCCACCGGTCTGGATGACTATTTTCCAATGAAAGTAGTTGGCTCCAAAAGTTACTCAATCTAGCAAGAAAGTCACCAAGTAGGCAACACTGAGAGCCCGTCCCTTCAGGCCTTTACCCAAAAACACTCCCATTTTTAAGCTATGGGTAAACTCACAGACTGTACTGTATACAAGAAGGGAAAACTCAGATGAGTGCGCAGCAGAATGTGAGGCAGTAGGCAGACAGGCAGGTAGACTGTCCGATCATTACATTCGGGACGATATTAAATGATTGGATGGGCTTATTACCGTCCTGCGACATCCAAAGATACCAGATTTTTTCTTGTTTTTTTTTGTCAAAGCATTTGATTCATTGATTTCTGTAAGGGTCTAATGAGAATTTCAACAAAAAGTATTAGAAATGTTTTTGAAGAAGATTACCAACCCTGCCTTTAAAGAGACCCCATAGCTTTGGCTGAAGTGCATCTACCCCTGGAGATTTAAGGGTATGAGGGGCGTCTTTTCACCAGCTTCGTCTGCGGGGAGGCTGGTGTATGTGTGTTCCAGCAATCAGCATCAGCTATTCACTGGCTAATTGAAAGAATGAGGGCTATTCTTCACTAATAATTCTCACTCCACAGTCTGCACACGGGGGTTGGTTAGAGACAAAAGATATCTCCATAAAAGCCACCCAGTTCCAGATCAGCCAATAGCTAAATTCAATTGCAAATTACTAGTAGAGGGCAGTCACAGTATGTAGAACTCAAATACTTTGCACAAAAATGTCAAGATCTGAACCTGAATCTATAGTAACAACATTACTGAATACTAAATTGGTTTTCAGTTGAAAACATTTGGTTTGGAGTTTTATTCCTCTTTAAGATGAACCAGGAGAGTCTTGAAAGTTGCTTGAGAAGTTTCATTTTGCTTTAATTTGATCAAATTAATAGTATTGTTTTGTCTCAATGCAGTGTCGACTTTTTGTCACAAACATGAAGAGCGTAAATGCTGTTTGGTGACAGATTACCTCAATGGTTCACATGTAAGCAGTGTCCAGCAATCAAAATCCTACTTAAGTAGAAGTACAAAAGTATTGCAGGGAAGTACAAATGTATACAAATGCTCCAGTCAGTTGTATTATTGCATTTCATATGTGAGGCCCCTCCTACATTCCTCAGCAGGCAGTTGGCTGACAAGGGAGGGTTGTTAAATTCACTTGGGTCTTTCAGGCTGTAAGAGCGGGTCCTTGTTTTCGTCTCTCTCCCTTGCTGCAGCAGACATCCCCCTGCATATCTTTTGTCTCGCTTTGCCGGGTTTTCAAACCTGCCACACATCCATGGCATGGCTTTCAGCACACACTGACTTTGCTGATTTGCACATGCAATTGTTCACTTTTTGAGTTAACGTTAATTTATTAAATAGTTTGGTTTTAAGTATAACCTTGTGTGGACTTTCTTTTTGGCACATGTTTGTGACATGTACTGTTGGAACAGGTGTAAGCAGTATTGCAATGTTGTAGATCAGGTGCCTAAGATGGCGGTTTGCTCACCTATGTTATGTGTGATCTCACCAACCCTGTCCTGTTTTCACCTCACTTCCGAACTGTTATCTGATCTGCCCTCATGCAATACTTTCCCTCACTGACATTTCCATTTTCCTTGCTTTTGAATTTCATTTTCTTCTCTCTGTCTCCGTCTTAAGACCTTCGCTTGCTTTGTAATGAAAAACTGATCTCATAACCTCTCAACATATCATTTCACTAATTCAAATTTGTAAAGATGCAATAGTGAATGCCAGTGAATTGATTCAATAACCCATGAGCTGATGAGAGAGCACTGCAAATGTCATCCCACACGGTTTTGTTAGTAGATGAATAGTTAAGCTTGTGTTATATCATCCACACAATAATCAATGAAAACATGTTTAAAATGTAAATTTTTTATTTTTTTAGGAGCTATGAAAAAAGTAAACCAAATAACTTTTAACATAAGTTTGTACAATGTAGCTAAAATCGGGAAGCAGAGAGATTATGCCATATTGTGATGGGTACAAGATAAAGATATCTTATGTGTTCCAGACTCGTGGTAACTAGGAGATAGGCCCTTTAAAAACAGACTCGGGCCTTGTTGGATGCATTATGTTTGAAGACTAGATCTCTGGTTCAAGTGTGGAAGATTCAGCTCCTTCAGAGTTTGCATTTTCTCAGCAATGACAAAACACTCAAAAATAATCTTACAATGTTGACATTAATATAAAATAAGCAAATTACAGATGGTAATTACAGATGAATTCAGCAATGACACCATGCTTCTTCAGCTAAGGTGCTTGAGGGAAGGCATGCTGTTTAACAGGAAAAACAAAAGCTAGAACAAACTCTTCATTTGTGGAAACCACCGTATACTGAAATATAATTAAAGAAACAGAATAACTTATTGTAAATACAAAATAAACTCAAACCTTTAACTACGGGGGTGATGTACTGAAACTTTTACAACTCAGTTATTTTGTATTTGCTTAAAATGAATGTGTGTTTGTTGAATATTGAATGTGTCAAAATGTTAGGTCAGTTTGACCCACATCATGGCAGAAAGGGCTAATAAGCCCGGATCATATTACTTATTTTAATTTTTCTTTTATCAAAGTACTCAATGCACACATAGCCTCTTTTTACACAATCATTTAACAACCCAGTCTGGAGGACAGAGGAACGCAGGGGGAAGCCTTTCAAGTATTGTTTTTTTCTTTGCCCCAATCAAATCAAAATAGTTTCTACACAATCACCAAAGAACAGCAAATCTCAAAATAAACAACAGAAAATAAGAATACTAAAACAACAATCATACAAAAGTAAGGAAGGAAGGTTTCTTCAATTTGAGAGATTGTATTTGCTTAACAGTCCTCCGGGGGTTGCTGTTGACCATATTATTGGAACAAAAACTAAGTAGCACAAGAGTACTGTTTATTTCCATGTGTTTGCAGTCTGCGAGATCGACGAGCGAGAGGGGATCATGTCCAGCAGGTACTCCCTCTGACGAGCGTCGACCGCGGCTGACGTCTTGTGGCCTGTCAGGCTGGGGTTCACGTAAGCCATGGTGACTCCTGTGAACATGCAAGAGAGCAGCAGGTCAAGGTGTGGAGCGAGCTGCATGCCGGCCTTTTAACGCCTTTTGAGTTGAATAAGAAAAAAGCAGTATGATTTCATAGCACCTGAATATCTAGCAACCCATGTCCCCCACAACATACAGACAGATAAAAAGGAAAAATGATGAATAATAAAAATGTCTACTCTCGGGTTTACTAGTGACACCCAGGGAAAAACAGTACACCACCAAACCGAGGGGCTAAAGCAGGAAGATTGAGATCACTGGCAGGGGGAGAACTGGAGAGTGGGATTGCCTTGTCCGAAAACATTTCCTCCTTCACTCTATTTTTTTTTTTAATCTACTATTTGAGATCATACTAGAAGGCGACTTTTTGATAAGATTCCCGAACGCTAGAAAAATTTGGACATGGGATGTTCAAGGATTGCTTTTGGACCAGACAGGAATTTGAAAGACAGCCGATGTCAGCAGGCGGGCTGGTGTTAATGTGAGTCTACCTGTGTTGCTGTGGCTCTGCTTCTTCCATGCAGTGGATGAGGCACTACCTCCGCTGATATTCCTGCCGCCGGCGATTCCACTGCTGCTCACCTTTGAGCTCTGGACAGAGCGGTGGGAAACGTGGGCATGCTTACCTGGCCGGCTGACTAAAGCTGCAGCCGCCACTGCACTCTGCAGCTGGGAGGAGGAGGAGAAGGAGTGGGGGACGCCCCTCACCCCCAATGACGAGACACCGTGGGACAGCTGGCCCTGGGAGCTCTGACGGCAGTTAAGAAACACGGAGAGGAGTTTGTGTTACAGTTGCATCAGCGGCACAAATGCTTCTCTTTAAAACAGATTCCAACCTGCTTGATGGAGTGATGGTGAACCATGTTGGCTCGACTGGCCTGGTGGAGGTGCTGGAAGGAAGACGCTCTGGCGTGAGCCTGCTTCAGCTGCTGAGACAACCCCCTCTCTGCTTTCATCGACGAAGAGGACGAGGAGCTACTGTGGGAAACTTGTGAGGACGTCTGCTGAAAAATACGCTGCTCTATTTCCTGCTCTTGCTGCAGTGCTTTGACAAACGCAGCTTTCAGCCTATTGGTGTGCTCAGCTTTCAAAACCTTTTTCTGACTGGATGACATGCAGTGTTCGCAGAGGACAGCCCCGCCTTTTGTCTTGTCCTGCCTCCAGCGGCTGGTGAAGTCGGTTTTGCACTGGGTACAGGTGAAGGGGTCTCTGGTAATGTTCTTTGACAGTGCTGCACTTGTCTTTCCTGGATGGAGAGAGATGGGAAACCCTGAGGCACTGATTGAAAACAGAAAGAGTTGCTTGAATGGTGTCAAAGAAGTAATGAGAAAGCAACAGACACAGGTAAGCAGCTATTTAGATCCTGGATTAAAGTGGGAATGTCCTGACTACATATGGACAATATTTAAATTCCATAAAAATAAGACAATTGCTAAAGCTTGTTTGAAACTGATCCAACATCTTAACCTAACATCTAAGGCTGAAATGAGCGACTATTTACATTATCGATGAATCTGACAATTATTTTCTCAATTAATAGTTGTATTAGTTGTGTAAAATGGCCATCACAATTTACTACGGCCCAAAGAGATCACAAAATAGCTTGTTGTGCAACCAGCAGTCCAAACACAACGATATTGAGTTTACTATTATATACAACAAAGAAAAAAAGCAGAACATCTTCACAATTTAGAAGATGGAACAAGAGAACGTTTCCTTTTTTTAAATTACTTGAATGATTATTAAAATGAATATTAATATTATTCTGTTGATCGACTGATTAATTAACTAATCTTTTTACCTCTACAACATGTAAACAAAAACCAACAAAAAAGAAAAGTAACACACCTC